AACCTTTTGTACCATGGACCACTTTGGCAATATGTTTCCCAATGAAAATATAAATGCGTACAATAAATGACATAGCATTATAAAGGAAATCTAATGTATTGAAATAGAATTCTCAAAATATTTAAAAAGAAGAAAAATACATAGTTTTTATCAGTGCTTTAAATAACCTAATTTTACAGTGGGTTTATTAATTACCACGATTTCAAATTAGTAATTAGCATAAATGAGGTTTCAAAATAGTTCAATATTAATAATAATATGAAGTGAAAAAATATTGTGATTTTTCTTGGTTCAAAGTCACCAGTACTCCCAGACTGGTAACTGTGATGTTTCTCACCCTCTTCATTGATGAAAATGCTAAATTATGATCAGAAGAAAGTGTACAATTATCTTCTAGAAGCTCGAGTTTCTGCCCCAGATTGAAAAATCAGAGATACCTATCTGAACCACTTGTAAATTTTCATGGCTAAAATGGTACTATTTCATCCAGGAAAGCACTTGAGTATTTAATATAAAATATTTAACCTTCAGTTGGAGTTGATTTCAAAACACCACTATTGCAAAAGTGGGGAAAACTTATCAGTAAAAATTTATGACAAAATTTGAATCTATTTCAATAAGTACATTCTGTTGAATTGTGTCAAGGTTTTTCTTGACATTTGGAGGAAATTTTCTAGGAGTCAGTTGTGATGAAATGTTCCCTGAAATAACTTCTGGATTGCTGTATAATAAGGTACATTTTCTAAAAAAAAGACAAAAACAAAACCCAGAAAGTCAAGGGCTGGTGTTTCCCCCACTCACAACATGACCATGTAGTCATGAAAAGAAAATCTATTGGAAATATAAATTGTCATCAGTTTTTTTAACTGAAGAGGAGAAAAGACAAGAAAACAAACATATTTCTAGTACATGAGTCTTAATTATATTTTAATAACATATGTCTAATTAAATAATATTTGGAATTCTATAGCTATTTAAAAATACTTACTTGAAATCATCTCTGTCCGTTATATGATGTCTTTGAGGACTTCCCATGGGCAAAAATGTAGCCTTAATCTATTAACTTTATATAGAAATATGAATTATTTGGGGATTTGATCATTAGTGTGGAATGAGAAGACAAATAGGAAAATAAAGTAAATATAATACTTTAGGTTATGAATTTTTTTCTCTTTTACTTAAATATTTTATTAGCAATTTACCAAATGCCTTTGCTTCTCAATTTTCTGTCTACCTGTTTTTAACCACAATTTTCTCTCCTAACAACATATAATGCAGATACAATAATTCTTTATTAGTGTTTTTGTTTGTTTTTGTTTTGTTTTATTTTTAATATATACTGAGTTTGAGGACAGGAGACCAAAAAGTTGATGAACTGTCTCTAGACTTTCTTATCCTCGTCAACTCGTTCTAAGGGCCCCAGTCCCTTGACTTGAAAGCATTTCTTCTTTCTGTAATGACTCCAGATCAAAAAAGAACCCTCCTATATGATGTGAAAAGCAACACGCCAAAAGCATCCAATAACAGAATTTTTTAACTTCTCAAAAAATTATTTTCTAGGCTGAACAAGACAATGGTCACCCTCTGCCAGCCTTTGCCAGTCTACATATTGAAATACTGGATGAAAACAACCAGAGTCCCTACTTCACGATGCCCAGTTATCAAGGCTACATTCTGGAATCTGCCCCAGTGGGAGCCACTATCTCTGACAGTCTGAATTTGACCACCCCTCTTAGAATTGTGGCTCTGGACAAGGACATAGAGGATGTAAGTTCAATCTTCATTTTGCTCTTGTTTTCTTTATGTCGACAGGAAATTTTACGAGGACATAGTTACATGAGCCATAGAATAGAGAACCAAGTCCGTATAAATAAGAGTCTCAGAAACAAGGATCTTAGTGTTGTAATCTAATTTCACATCAAGAATATTGTGAAAAAGAGTATGTTTGAATTCAGTGACTGTTTGTTTGTTTGTTTGTTTGTTTGTTTGTTTGTTTTTCAGTTTACAGATCCTGGGTATAAGGATGGAAAGGAATGTTTCATTTATAGTTTGCTAAACCACAGGACAATCTTTTTTTTTTTTAATTAATATGGGTTGAAAACTGTTTCTATAATTGCTGATAGGGGAACATAATCACATTACAGAATAAATATTAGAAAAAAAAAAACAAAAACATGAAGGCAGTCCTGTGGTATGGTTTAAGGAACTTTTCCGATGCTATGTTATTAGGCAAAAACACATTTGGAGGCAGCTGACCCGCTCACACTGCCACCGGTGGCCGTGTTGATGTCAAGGCTCCGTGCGCCATGCATGCCAGTGCCCTGTGGTGGACATGCCACTGGCCACACGGGTGGTTGGCTGTCCAGGCTGGGCGGGTCAGAGTTCTTGACCTCTGCACCCCCTCTTGTGCTGAGAAGTGGGCAGCCAATCTATACCAGGCCAGTCATAGCTTTTCCAGGAAAGGAAAATCAAGGAACCAGGGCGGGGAGGCTTTGGCATCACATATTAAAGAAATGGAAACGGATCTGGAGCCACAGTGGCCGCATTAGCTGACATCATGGAGGAAGCCTGTCACCACAGAGAGGAAATGAGTCCTGACAAAGTCACACACAAGGGAGTGCTGTTGGGTCCTGTTGTCTTGGGTTAGAAGATGCCCAGGCCTGTAACTGATCTCTGATTTTTCTTCCTTTTGTTCTGTGGTTCTGTGACCTGCCACAGTATTTCCCCATGCATCTTTTTTATTTTTTTGAAAACATACTTTCAGTTTGAATTCTGCCCCTTCCAAAGGGAGAAAGACCTGACTCAGCCATTTCTCCCTCTTCAACAGAGCTGTTCATAAATGTCCTGCAGCCACGCTGTCCCCGATGGCAGCCACCAGCCACGCGTGCCTGTGGAGCCCTGGAAACAGGACTACACTGACAACTTAATTTAGTGTTTTGTTTAATTTAACTAACTTAAATCTAAGTAGTCACCTGCCACTACTTGGGCAGCACAGCCGTAGAGTGTCCCCCAAAATCTCATTACAAGGAAGCTTCATCATCCGTCTAGTAAATGAAGAGGGAACTTTCAGATTTTTTGTCCCCTCTTTCTGGAAAAAGTTTCTAACACTTCGCAGAGGCTGTGACAACTCTGTGTGCCCTCCACTTCTTTCCAGATGCCTTTCTACCTCCTGATACTTTCTCTCTCCCCTCATCCCAACCTTCCTGTGCTGCTTAGTCTCTCCTCTTTGGTCTCATCACGTTTTAACATAACTGTCAGTGAGTTCTTAGTACCGGCCCGACAATCTAGTAAATACTTTATCTTGCGTTAATTCCCTTAAATCTCACAGCAAACATAAAAGATGCAATATCCCATATTGCAGAAGGGGAAGTTGAAGCTATTTTAAATTGATTTCTGTGATCACGGACTTAGTAAATGGTGGAGTTGGTCCTTGAGCCAAGGTCTATGGGAAGCAAAGTCCTTGATTTTAAGCACCAAACTAGAAAGCCCATGTCTACTTGATACAGTATGACTATAGTCTGACAATCATGACAGCTGATAAATGCTACAGACATTCTTCCAGAAAAGTGCATATGCGAACACCATTTCCCATCCCAATGTAGGAGGTTAGGGATCCCCTGAATGTCTTCATCTAGTGAGTCCTCACTAGAAAATTCAGAGTTACCTTAATAAGTTTTATATAGGCTAAGCTACTATATTTTGTAGGCCTGGTGATGTCGCATAGATTTTGGTATGGATTTTATTTCATTTTTAAATTGGAATGCGTAATCATATGTTAAGCAGAGACTAGTCAATTTGGAAAATTATAATAGTGTAAGTCATACCATCATGAACACATCAGTTAGCAAAATCTGAATCCTGAAAGAAAATGCAGCTGAGAGTTTTTCCATAATTGCAAAATGTATGTGTTTGTATTTACTTGATGTATTTATATTATTGAATAGTTGCATGCTAAACTTGCTTGGGTACATTCTTACTTTCCTGGATTGCCATTCACGTTAACATTATAAATGTGAAAATGCATTCTAAGAGACTTTGTAAAAGATGATGAGACTTACAGGGTATTGGTGAGGTGGAGTTGGGGGAGCTCCTAGATGTAAAATGTCTGGGAAACACTACTTGACATTCTACTCATAGAGTTGACCATCCCACTTAGCTTATTAAATGCTCTGTGCATTTCCAGGGCTGGGGGAGGAGTTTGGGGCAGGAGGCTGTTGTTCTTAAGATTTTGTTCTTTGGAGTTACCCCCCAGCCCCGGCTTGTGTGACCCTTGGTCCTACTCTGTGATAATTGAATGACTCTGTGGGCCTCGTTTTCGTGAGTCACCCCTTTTCATTCAATCACCTGTGAATGCAAACAAGTATGTGACAGGACACCTTGGTCTGTCCTTCCCTTGGGGCTGGCAGGAAGGGCAGGGAGAGGACAGTTCCCTTAAATGCTGCCATGCACTTAGAGAAAGGCACCGTTAATATGTCTTGTAAAAACGTCAAGTAATTAAACAATGTGTATCTTGCCATTAGTTTTTTAGGCCCATCCTCTTTCCAAAATTAACTACAGTGAGTGCCATTGGGTGCCTAGAAAGTGAGCAAGTATCTCTAATCTCCTAGTGATGAAGGTTTCTAAAATACTAAATATAGCTTCTATGTATCTATAATGTAAACAAGCCCATAGAATGTCAACATAGTTTAATCCAGTTTCCTATACCATGTGAAATATTCTCTTAAAACCCACTCCTCAGGCACTGATATAACCCCTCATCATGCCCCTCAGTCTTGAAACCCAAGAGTCTTTGGTTTTTGTTTCCTCACTGCAGCTGAAAATCTTCATATTCTCCCTGTTTTGTCCTCTGGATATTTCATGACTGTCTTTATCTCTCATTGGAATTACCTTCTGATGTCCTTGCCCTCCTATTTTTTCTTACTCGGGTGTCTCTTACCCAGCCACTAAGAGTGATCTAGTTAAGAGGTCAGATCAGTCTACATCACAGTTCTGCCTCACACGCTTTTGAGATCAGTTTTCCCGCAGAAGAGAATGGCTGGCTGTTAGCTCATGCTCGAACATTCATACGGCCTCATTTCCTGAAACTTCCTCCTCACCTGTTACATTTAGCAATGGCTTGTAGTTTCCTGTGTAGCTTCTTGTCTCATTACCTTTTTTTGTGGCATTTTCCATGCTTTGAAATCTTTTCTCTTTCATCACCCAAGCAGGTTTGGACAACTTCCACTCAGTGTTGAGAGTTCTGCATGGGCATCCCTCACTCACATCATGTCCAGATTCCGCTTCCTCTCACCTGAGTGGGGTGTCTCTCTCATGCTATCCTTGTGACATTGTAGGCACCTTGCACCCTCTTTGAATATAAACTGAGAACAGGGCTTAGATCTCTGTCATTCTTGTATCTTGAGGATCTAACACAGTTCCCAGAACTTAGTAGTTTCTACTAATTGTTTAATGAACTTGTACATTCAGGCATGAGTAGAGGAATGAGGATATCTAACATATGATCAAAATTCTAGTGCTCTTGATTTAACTGTTTCACGATACGGCCCATTCCAGGGTTGGACAACCACTTCCTAGAAAACTCTTCATCCTATTGAGTTGAAACGAGCCTTCTCATAATTCATCTTGTATTCCACATAACTTCCATTTTCCATCACTGAGAATAAATCCATGAGATAGTCTGTAATAGGTTTCAAGATGGATTGATGTCCTTTGGAATCACCTCTTTCCCCCACCACCCCCAGGCCAAGGACTCTTTATTTTAAAAGCAAAATATGTTCACTACTAGATGATTTAAAGATTTGTATTAACAAAAAGAAACCTCAAGGCCCTTTCAAGGCAAGAATTTTACTGCCTGATAAATTCTCGCTGTTTTTGAGTGCCAGAATAATGCAATTACTCAGTGTATGGGCAGAGGATTTAAGAATAAAGACAGAAACACATCACCGCATTCAGGTGTTACCAAAAGAAATGGAGAAGAACGCTAGGCATGGAAAGAGAAGTCATCACGGCAGGAATTAGTTTCCTGAGTAGCTTCGAGAATAGGAGAACAGACTTGGATTGTCCAAAAATCAGCATCTTCCTTCAGTTCAGTAGAAAGGAAGAGTTTTAAGAAATAGTAGCAGGGATCGGTGAGTGGAGTTATCAGCAGTGTAGATTTTGGGGTAGAAGGAATATTAACGGTCACAGTGAAACTAAAAAAAAAAGAGTAAACAAAAATATTTGTGTCAGTGTTCCTTTTCTATTGATGTATAAATGTCCACATAAAGGTACATATGTCATATAGAGAGGTAATAGGAGTCACATTCTGGGTTTTTTTTTTTTTTTTAAGTGCTCTTACATCATACTTTCAAAATAGCCCAGCAGGTAGATAGGGCAAGACACACCCAAGGTATTTAAGATGATGTCTGAAACCACCATGTTTTCAGTAAGCAGAACTACTAAGAGCTGATGATTGGATTCCGGTTATAAAAAGTAAGTAAATAATGGGGAATAGTAATCAACCGAGGGTACCCATTTGGCTCGTAGGAAGGCAGCAAGTCATTTAGAATTCCATGTGGGTTCACGTCCTGCATAAAGCGTTACTGTTTTCAGAATAAAGGTGTCCTTAAAACTTAATGCAATATGGTCTTAAAGGTCCACGGTCCTGGTATGCTTTATACATATCATTATGCTGTCGTATGTATGTTATGTCAGAATATTAAGAAAAAAAATACACTGTGAAAAAAGTTATTAGTGTAAATGCGCTAGAAAACGTTGTTGCTGTTGTTTATTTGTTTTTTACTAGAGTATACTTGTAAGCCATATGTATGTCTGTGGTCATTTATGCTTACATGTTTCTATTTAATGTTTAATTTGCATATAGGTTCCTCCAGGGGGAGTTCCTGTAGGTACTAGGCATTCATTTTGTGTTTGCTCTTTTGTGAATTGCTGTGGTTCATTTCCTAGTTCTCTTTCTTTTCCGTAAAACAAGTAGACACTTCCTTCAGTATCCGTTATAAAGACATCTACAACGACTTTATATATGTCTGTGTAGATGTTAATTTAATTTTATGTTCATCATATTATTGGTTATAGTAGAATGAATTGTATGGAATCCAAATTTTATGTGAACTTTAGCAAAGATTGTTCAATTTTTTAATGTTTTTCAGTTTATGACAAACATTAGTAATTCATCATCATATTTCTGAAAGACTCTAAGCTTGGGATTGAACTCTTTTGAACAAGGTTGTCTGAAGACAACTACTGTTGACCAATTCACATTGGCAGATGAGATTAATTTCTGTCATTTCCCCTTATGCTTCATAATTTACCTAAGTATGCATATGTATATATGTGCACATATACATACATTTTTGTGTTGTATGTGTATATATATATGAGGATGCATATAAATGTGTGTGTGTGTGTGTGTGTGTGTGTGTGTGTATGTGAGAGAGAGATACAGTATTCTGGTTCTCATTGGAAACCCCAAATTGGTTTCAAATCCAGTTGATTGTTATATTTGAATGGATTTCTTCTACATGATAAGATTTTAAATTTTACATTCACATGTTGTTTACCTTTGCATTTGTATATGTCCTGACTTTTGTCTTCAATTTTTCTGTGCTGTGAGTGAATATCAGAGTTTATTTTACCCTCCCAGAGAATAATACACAAACCAATGAAATGACACACTTATCGTGTATAGTTACTATATACTTCAGATAATATAATATTACCTTATGTCAGAGGGAAAAGGAAAATTTATTAATCAGCCTTCTGTGTACATACTGATTTTGAAAAAACTAATGTGTATTTTAAACAAATTTTTAAACACAAGGGCTGCATTAAAAGTACTGACCCTGTAAGAATAAGAAGTCAGATGGAGTGCTTGAGTGACTCAGTGGGTTAAGCATCCGACCTCAGCTCAGGTAATGATCTCACATTTCATGGGTTCAAGCCCCATGTCAGGCTCTGTGCTAACAGCTTGGAGCCTGAAGCCTGCTTTGGATTCTGTGTCCCCCTCTCTCTTTGCCCCTCCCCCTCTCGTGCTCTGTCTGTCTCTCTCAAAAATAAATGAACATTAAAAAAAAAAATAAGAAGTCAGAGCATTTTCTGTCCATTTTACACTCATAATATACCACACCCGAAACTAGCATTAGCCTTAAAAATAAGTCCTAGGTATTAAGCTTTGAGTAGTAATTGGCTGCATATTTCCAAATCTGCCTTCTTCAATTCTTGGCCTCAAAGAAATATCCAGGTATTCACCATTAGCGTCTAAGTACCCTATACATAGATTTTGAAGGTTACTATGGTAAGTATCCGTAAATTTCACAAGTTATAATTTAACCAGAGATTAACTGAGCAGGAAAGATTGGCATGAGCTATAAAATGCCATTGACAGTGATAGCTTTATGTGTTATATTATCTTTTTCACAAAAAAAACAATCCGCAGGTCTGGAAAGTCGTATTTTAGTCTCTAGCTAGTTGCAATGGGACTTGAAGACCAGCAAATTATCAAAAAGTCTTTAATGTTTCTCGTTATCAAACGTAAGAGTCTGTTTCTGAAGTCCTGGCGGGCGTGTCATCTTGAAACAGGAAGCATTTGAAGTGAGGGTCTCGTGACTTTCATAAACCGGGAGAACGAACGGCGTGGTCAGTGGCACGACCGGGTGGTGCGGTGTCGCGTGTGTGTACCGTGGTGCACGGCCCGGCGCTCACCGCAGTCCTGCACCATCACCACACCTGACATAACAAAGAAAATGCTCACAACATGTGGTGAGTCTCTGAAGGCATTATACCCAACAAATTTACCAACAGAGACTCCAGGGGGAAGGAAGAAAGAAATTGGGAGAACATTAGTTATGAGGAAAGTAGAGAAGGACTGAGGGATCTGAACAAAGGGAAAGAAGCAAATATTTGCTCTATTAGGTCACGGGGCAGAGCTTGCTCAGCTCGGATTACTGGCCACGTAGAGGTTTGACTATAGGATGCTGCATTGCTCAACATCACTGTTGGGACACTCGGAGAACAGGAAAAAAATACATGAATTTAACAGCCTAGTGATTTTACCCTGGTTGGTAATTGCTGTTAATTGAAACTGCCTTTTAACTTTCTCGATCACTTAAAAATAACCATCAAATTTTATGGAAATTGACTTTAAAGTACACACACAGTAAGAAGGAACCTCAAAATATGGCTTAAAATATGTTGAATTTATATGCATTTTATCATCTATTTTTTAAAATAATTTAACTTTTTATTAACTAATATGTTTGATTAATCAACCCCCCCACCACCACCTGCTAGCCATGCTGAGCATATGGGGTCATGATGCTGACACGGAAACTGAGGTTCCTGTTTGAAAGTATCCATGTAAAGCCTCTGACTTTTCACGGCTCTGAACAATTTTGATTATTTTATAATAAAGAGATCAATGGAAATTATTGTCTATCATATTCATTTTTTTTATTGTTGTAGGATCAATAAATGTAGCATACTGGACTTGTATCAAAAGCTTCCATAGAAGACTTTAAGTCTTCTATGGACCTAGAAGCTGCAATGATATAGCTAAGTGATATCTCAAATATCTAAGGTGATATCACAAATACAGAACTGTGTGAGGTTCAAATGAAACCATTCATTTCAAAGTTATTCAGAATATGTACATACAGAAGCTTTAACAAGATGTATAGATTTCAGCATCTGTGGGTTGCATCAGGACCACCTTTTAATAAAGCAGTACAGATATCAACTTTCTCAATTTCACATAAAAATGTTTAAAATGTGAGTGCTAATTTTTTAAGTCAAATTTAACATGTCTTTAACAATTTTTAAGTCTATACTCTGCCCTCAGCCCCCGATTTCAGACGTAGAAAAGGAATCTATGATATTAAATTGCATTTCACACTACGCTATGCATACCATGTGTTGGGCGCTTTTTTGAATATAGTTGACACACAGAGCTACATTAGTTTCAGGTGCACAACACAGGGATTTGACTTCTGTCTGCATTATGTCATGCCCACCACACGAGTACCCGCCATCTGTCACCGCACGATGACACTGTTACGGTACCACTGACTGTATTCCCTGTGTGGTGACATTCATCCCCACGACTTATTCCTTCCATAACTGGATGCCTGTATCTCCCGATCTCCCTTTTCCGTCACTGCATAATTTTTAAAGTTGCCCAAATCTATAAAAATGCCTCACCTCCCTGTGCATCTCTGTTGCTGTTGTTGTCATAGCCTTATCAGAAGCCGTCCGTCCCAGATACCCCTCTTTCCTTTGGTGCACTTGCCCTCTGACTCCACTATGCAGACACCAATGCACACCTCCCCACTTCGTGTCCTTGTTCTTTCTTGAAAATGCAGAGATGGACGTCTTCTCATTCAGGGACGTCAATAGACTGTGAAGGGTTTCCCCTGCTTAGCGAATGTTCTCTGTTTTGAACTTTTGCAGTCACTTCTCTATGTACATATCATGTTTCTGGGCTCTTTTATCAGACACACGCACCCAACTCATACACCTTCAATCTGATTATCAGAAATTTTTAAATTAAAATGAACATTATGTTTCCCCTTGGAGAATCTTTACAGCATTAAAATATGAAAGAACGAGCATGATATTTATAGGTAATGAATTATACATAACCAGTCTTCTTTCAATTTTACATTAAACATGAGAACAGAATAGTAATATGCATGTGGGTGCTTTGCTACCACAAATCAAGTAGTTGCACAATCCTACAGCTAAACTTTGGGGCTCCAATTTTCTTCTCTTGCATTTACTTCTTATTCCTTGAGCTCAGTGAAGTTCTGGAGAATGTTGATATCATAAACCAATAAGAACATATTCAATTGGATTGTTATCTATCTTATTTATTTCCTTTTTTTACATTAATAATACTTACAGTCATTCCACTATGTTGTTTTCCACAAAGTGAGTCATTGTCTTTGCATGATTCAGCTCAGTGATGAGTAAATGTCTAGTAAACCCTATCTTTTCTTTGGAAATTCTTTTGACACTCATGGATGGTTTTGTAACAGATTTGTCAAATTAATTTACAGTTCATGAACTAATAGCTGCATTGTTTATTCAACTTTTTTTTTGTTTTCTCAAAGACGAAAGACCCAGAGCTTCACCTTTTTCTCAACGATTACACCTCAGTCTTCACCGTCACACAGACAGGTATCACTCGCTACCTCACCCTACTTCAACCAGTGGACCGAGAAGAGCAGCAAACTTACACTTTTTCGGTAAAAAGATTTATTATTTATGTGTGTTCATGTATGTGTAACGGAAAGTGATGTCTGTTTAAAACTGGAGAGGTCCGTGGGGCGCCTGGGTGGCTCAGTCGTTTAAGCGTCCGACTTCAGCTCAGGTCACGATCTTGTGGTCCGTGAGTTTGAGCCCCGCGTCGGGCTCTGTGCTGATGGCTCAGAGCCTGGAGACTGTTTCAGGTTCTGTGTCTCCCTCTCTCTCTGCCCCTCCCCCGTTCATGCTCTGTCCCTCTCTGTCTCAAAAATAAACGTTAAAACTGAAGAGGTCTGTGACTTAGGGAAAAAATGCAGTATTTTCAAGTAACTGAGAATTGAGGCTATCAGTAATAAAATTCTTTACATGTGTTTCTCTTTTTTCTGTTTATAAGTTTGTACAGCTATGTTGTCATTATTTACCAAAAAAAAAGGAAAATAATTTTCAAGACGAAAACAGGAAAATGAGACTTTCATTCTTCACCATGCACTCATAATTGACTTCAATTGAGATAGTATAAACTAGAATCCACAAGTAAAGAATTATTTCCTAACCCTTACTTTATTTTAATTTATTTTATGGTTTTTGTTATTACATTTTATATTTTGGCATAGGGTTAGGCCAGTGGTTGTCCACTGGGATGATCCCTGCACCCCCAAGCCCTGTCCCACCCCCACCCCCCTACCCCCCTGCCGAGCCCTGGGAACATTTGGCAATTTCTGCAAGACAGTTTTGGTCATCACTACAGGATCTACTGCATCAGGTAGGTAGAGCCCAAGGATGCCGATATGCATCTTGTAACACACAGGACAGCCTTCCCTCTCTCCAGCAGGGAATTATCTGATGGAGGAAGCCTGCTTCAGGTTAGTTAAGAAAAAAAATGGTGAGGGGAGATTATTAAAGCTGTATATATATAATAGAATATATACATTATATTCTATATTCTATGTTCTATATATTCTATGTATTCTGTATTCTGTTACACAAACACATACATGATTTGTGGGGGTGAGAGGTGGATATAGATAAAAAGAAAATTGTATTATCCAAATTTATGGGCCATATTTTATTCAGATATAAGAGGAAAATGAGCCAGTGGAAAGGACTTAGGACCTACAGAAGACTCCTTTCTGGAGACCCTTCTTTACACAGCGAAGCCACAGCTTCCAGAAACCCTCAGTGACATTGCGAACTTAGACACAGAATGGATTTCAGAAGTCATTCAGAACAAAAATGGTGGCGTGGCAGTGCGGACTTTGTTTGTCAGACCTTCCTAAAATGTTAACGATGTAATTAACATAGCACTATTAAGTAACATCAGTAAGTCCTTTAAAACTTCCATTTTGTAAATTACCAGAAAAAGACATCGCATCCCTAGGGCGCCTACTTTCTTGAGTTATCAATATAAGCATGTTGGCTCTAAAAGCATCTATGGAATTATATATAAAATATGGAAAATGGAAGAATATTTTCCTATTAATTTTTAAAAATTAAATAGTAGTTAACTCCTAAGAACCAATGTTACTGGCCCACTCCAAGTTTCTCTAACACTTTACATATCTGCTTATTTACATGTGCTTGGAATTGAATACATTAAAAATAAAACAGAATCCTTTGTAATTGCTTCTTAGTGCATTAAAGCACGTTGCTTATGTGTATTATTATAAGTTTGTTATTTCTATCAACAAAACATTTTGGCACCCTTTTAAAACTGAAATTATATATGAGAAATGCCTTAAATCATAGGACTGAATTCAGTACTGCTTATGTTTGCATGACTTACCTGTTACATGTGTTTTTCATCCCCAAAGATAACAGCATTTGATGGTGTGCAAGAAAGCGAGCCAGTTATTGTCAATATCCGGGTGATGGATGCAAATGATAACACTCCAACCTTCCCTGAAATATCCTATGATGTCTACGTTTATACAGACATGAGCCCCGGGGACAGCGTCATACAGGTAACTACCCATATGGTACAAGGCACTATGCAAAACGGTTGTTTCCATGGGCATTGTATAATGCGACGCTTCAGAAATTGCTTAAGAAATGAAAACAAGGGGCTCCTGGGTGGCCTAGCTGGTTAGCGTCTGACTCTTGATCTCGGCTCAGGTCATGATCTCACAGTTTGTGAGTTCAAGCCCTACATCAGGCTGTGTGCTGACAGTGCAGAGCCTGCTTGGGATTCTGTCTCTCCTTCTGTCTGACCCTAGCCTGCTTGTGCTCTCTCTTTCTCAAAATAAATAAACTTAAAAAAAAAAAAAAAAAAAAAGAAATGAAAATGAACTTCAGGCTCATTATATGGCATAATCTGGCTTAAAAAGCTTGAGCCTTATGTTTACTTGTCACATAAAAATGTATTTATATTGACTTTAAAGGAGAATTAACTAGTTATTAGATGTAAACGCAGCTATTTGATCAGTTTATACTTGATTTTTAAGAGTTTAATACACCGAATACACTTAATTAATATAGTAGTATTTTTAATATATTGATGTTTTCAAGTATTAGATGTATAGTTGAAAATTCCAAATTGTTTGGACCTTTTGTAAGTATGGGTTAATTTTCCCTTGGCGATAAAGGCAGAGGACTACGTTAATGAGTTGGTGGATGACATTGTCAGACAGTGGTTACCTGGACATAACATGGAATCATCACAACAGAGCAAATCTGGATTTCATAGTAAATGGTATCTGTGAAACTACAGAAATCGGCAAAATCTTTCTCCTTGACTTGTCTTATTATTAACTGCATACTTACTGCATTTAAATTAATTATAAGTTATCTCAAACTATGTTGGTTTTTTTTTTTTTTTTTTTTTTTTTTTTTTTTTTTTTTGTATTCTGTGCGTAAGTCATAAAGAAGTAATCATATTCTTCCTCGAGGGCTTTTGGGATAGTAGAGTCTAGTACTTTGCAAATTGGCTGTACTGCGGAATTATCTAGGGAGATGTTTAGAAACACAGACAACCAAGATGTCACTTCACCTTTCTGGGATCTGAGGTTCTATGAGCAATACTTCGGTTATTGATATTAAAATAATAAACCCAAGGGATTCAGTGTCCAGACACATAAAGACCACTGATGTAGATTGTCCTCAATATCTGAGAGTCAGATTCAATAATTTTAAGTTAGTTTCAGGCCAGGAAGGCCATGATTCTATATACTTTTTAGAGCATTTGAATGGCTACAAATTGTTACTAAATGACATATTGTATATTATATAAGTATACCATAATGATACGTAATAATGTATATATAACGCATACTAAATATGCACTAGTATAATATATAATTAATGCACATAACTCAATTTACGTGTCTACATGTCTTAGCATATAGCATATATAAATAGTTCAGAATAGTAGAGCATCAGCCTAAAGACCCTGACGACAAACATAAGCCTTCACGTGCGCCTCCCGATTCCCCCGGCTCCGCATTTGCCTTCTTTTCCTTTGCACGTGCTTTGCTCCTGAACCACCAGCTCACCTAACCGAAAGCATGTGGCTTCCTCTTTCTCACTTCCTCCAGTTAGCCGCTTCCCTTCCATGTACATCTTGATGAGCCTTCTTGTCCTTCACATTATTTCCTTTCTGAGGACGCATGCCTTGGCGGTGTTCATCCTTCCTTGATGGTCCCTGCTCTTGCACCCCACCTGGACACAGTGCTGTGCAGCCACGCTTCTGTGATCCACTGCTGTGACACAAAACACTCATCACACCTCGTCCCACATCATCACTCGTCATCGGTGTGAGACATTAGGGAAGAAACGGTTCACGTTCTTCTCAGTGCTTCTGCACACTGTTTTCTGTCGCCCAAGAGTACTCTTCTTAACCCAGATTTTGCAAGGCTGGCCCACTTTCTTCGTACAGAACTCTGCCCAAAATGTCACCTCCTCAGAGAAAACTTCCCTCGAGGCTTAGTGCTGACCCCCTTCCAGCTCACACACTCTCTGTGACTCCCCTCTCAAATGATCCTATTTTCTTCTCTCTTGCCCTCACCCCACGCTGAAGACCCCAAGAGGTCAGTGTCTTTTTTTTTTATCACCGTGCTGCCTCAACACGCAAGACGTATCACCCATGCGGTACCTAGTCATCCAAAGGATGAATTGTTACCAAATTCACATGGCGCTGTTGTTAACATAGTCTAGAAATAATTCCGTGCTATCTCTCTTTTATTCATCAGATTAAGATATACTTTCTTGGGTGATAAAAGGGATGACATTATAGCATGGACAGTGGAAATTCACATGTACGCACTTCCATGCGTGGATACCCCCTGCTGTATATGGCAGTGGAGAAAAGGCCACAGTACATTTTATTCCTATCTTGCTTATGGCATGTGTCATATTGACGGAATCCACCCTTTCAACCGTTTGTCTTGAGGGCAGAACTCTCAAGACAATTAAAAATTAGTTTATAGCATCCACATCAATAGTGCCTAGCATATCACAGGTGCTCAATAGAGTTGATGCTTAATATGTTTATTCCAGGATGACAGAAGGGAGACATGTGGACAAGCAGAATGAATGGGAAGGTATAAACACATTGGCCTCTATTTCTAGTTGATTGGTGGACCTCAAGAACTACATTTGTCTTTACCGAGGCACTTATATGGGCAGCAACATTGCAGTGTATACAGATAAAGGAATGACACTCGTTGTCATGTTCTTTTTTAATTAGACCTGATTCTTATCTCTATAATAACATAATTGGAAGTAAAAGTAAGTTTATACATAAAAAATAAAAAAATAAAAAAATAAAAAAAGCCAGCAGGGAGCTGGAAAGTGTAACTAAGAAAATGATAGCAATTATGTGGTGGAACTGTATCTCAAAAAATGTCTGCCTTGGGGGATCAAAAGCTGATTTCTGGCATTTGCTGGCTGAAACAGTTAATTTCCCTATGTATCTCTTTATGAAATAGATCTTTCTTTGCCTTTAAAGATTCATATTTAAATAACTTCCTGAACCATACAGATTATGAAGATAGAGTGTCATTTGTGTTTATATGGCTCTATCTTTAAAAGTTACTTAAGCACCAAGAGATAAAGACTTATAATTAGTATTTTAAATGTTATTCCTGGCATGTGGTAAAAGAGTGGCATGGCTATAAAACATCCTTCAAGGGCCTGGAAATAAAAGGAAATCGATTTCCTATTGAGAGAAAAATGTGTAAACAAAGCAAAATGATTTAGAACTGGGACCTGTCCCTGCCTCATAAGAATGACAAAATAAATTCTGTGCTGCACCCACCCAGCCCTCGCCAGCCCTGTCTTTCCGCACTGACCCAGCACAGTATCACCTCATTTACTTTTAGTTACT